CCCAGCTGGGCCCTTTGGTGGGAGGCTCCCTGAGTCAGCCGGCCCTGGGGCCTGCGGGTCTAAACCAGCACACCAGGCCTGGGGCCCTGGAGGAGGGGGCCTGGGCTGGCCCCTGAAGTGCCGTGTGACTTGGGAGAGGCCTCAGGACCCTCTGTTTGGAGGTGGCACGGCCTGTCTTTCCTAGGAAGCCCTCTCTCACGGCTCACAGGAGGTGGCAGGGCAGGGACTGGGCCTGGCCCCAAAGTTCTCCCCCTGCACCTGATATTCTACCCCAGTGGGAGGGGGGTGAGAGGAGCCACCCAGAGGCAGGTAATCGTGATTCTAGGTGAAGTGTCGCTGCAGGCGTCTCTGTGCAGGGACTTAGAGCCAGAGCAACAGAAGTGGCTGCCAGGAGTGGCGGGAGGTGGAATTAGGCACGACCCTGATGGGTGGGGGTTCTGTTTTGGGGTGATGAGGAGGGTCTGGCATTAACAGCGGCCACGGTCGCCCAACTCTGTAGGTAACGAAAAGCTGGGGTGGGTGGACCGTATGACATGTGAGTCATCTCTCGACAAAACTGCTGTGACAAATGTGAGCACAAGGAGCGGCCACTGTCCCTGGGGGAGGCGACAGTGCAGAGGGCATGTGCAGGTGCCCCGTGGAGAGGGGCTCCACCGCAGCATGCCCACCCCAAGGTGAGGATGTCCTATGTGGAAAGCGCACTGGGTACCCCCTTCCTCCCAGCCTCCCTGCGGGCAGCTCGGGGCGCTGTCCACTCACTGGTGGTCCTCGCCCCACCCCCCCGACGTCGGACAGAAGAGGCTGGACACCCAAGGAATCGTCAGGAAGCAGGTTTATTGACTGTAGGGTCCAGAGGGGCGGATGCCTGAAATTCTCTGGATCTTGAGTCTGGAAATTCTTGGAACCTTATCCCCAAGGGGACGGGGGTGCTGGATGCTTCCATTTTTGTAGAGTCTACATAAAAGAATATTTTTTCCCTTGAGTTCACAGAGAGTGCTTTTGGTCCCATGTTTTTTTAGATTAGTCAGAGGTTTTACAACAAAAGCAGAAGTGACACCATCAAGTCTCCGGTCACACTCAGTTTTTGCAAGATGGAGCAACTCGGCCTCACAAGACATAGGAAGCTCTGCCCCACATGGGGTTTTTTGTAGGAATTTTGGCTGATGTCCTGTGTAAAAAGCTTTCTGACGAGAGGAGGAACTTACAAGTTACAAATATGGTGGGGGTTTCTGCTGGATTATGGTGAGGGTCCCCCAGGTGGGGGTCTCCCGGGTGGGGGTCTCCTGGGTGTGGGTCTCCGGTCTGCTTGACCTCCAGCTTGCGCCTTGGTGGCTGCCGCTGTCCACCGAGAGAGGATCAGATGGCTTATGGCCAACCCAGGGAAGATCTAGGTTCAAAATTCAAAGTACGGTTCCTACCGAATATTTGAAAAATTGTAAGTCAACCCTTGTGAACTGAGGGCCCTCCACTCAGGAGCACGGAGTCCCTCGGGTGCTCAACACAGTGTGAAATACTTGATGGGCCTCTTCGCCTTAGGCCTGGCCACAGCCAAAAACCGCAAACAGACTTAAACTTTCAGCAGTTGCATTGCAAACCACGACCTCTGTTACTCGTGGCTGACCACACGTCCCCTGGGCCAGGGCTGGGGGACAGTCAGGAAGCTGTGTGAGGCCTTGCAGTGGGGTCAGAGTCGGGTAATATGGTGATGACCCAGGACACAGCTGGTTCTTGGCCTATGGAAGCACAAAGATGCCTCTCAAGTGGCTCCCTAAGTCAGCGTTGCGCTGATCTGGAGCAGGAGTTCCCGTGGGGTCACTTGATGTCCAGTTTGAAGCTGGCTCTGCCTCCCGTTTTATAGACAAAGTCGACGCGGTGGGATGGTCAAGACCACTCAGCAAGAGCGAGTCCAGGGCAGGACTGGCTGGCAGGGCATCCACAGCCATGCTGTCCTACAGCCTGTGCCCCAGCCCTGATCCGGGAGCGTGTGTGAGTCCTTCAAAGGTGACTTGGCTGCAGACTGGAGACCTGGGAGATGGTGGTGGCTAATATTGGAGGTGGAGAGACCAACAGAGGACAGGTGGACATGGAAGTGGGTAGATCAAGCTCACACTCATGGGGTCGAGTCTCAAAGACGTGCCGACCCACCAGGTGGGAGGCATTAAAAAGAGGTGCATTGAACAGTGAGCCCCAGGGTTCTGGAGGGCAGACTGAGCAGTGCTATAGATTTTAGATTCTTTCTTTTTCTGTAGTGGGGATTAAACCCAGGGGCACCCAGGGGCTAACACTGAGCTCAGCCCCCAGTCCTTTTTATTTTGAGACAGGATCTCACTAAGTTGCCCAGCCCCATCTGGAACTTGCAATCCTCCTGCCTCAGCCCCTGCCCCCCACAGGGCTGTGCTACTTATGGAGACACAGAATGCAAGTTCTGTTTAGCGAAGGACAGAACTGAATGAAGGACACTGAGGCGGATGGGTACAGCTGCCTTGAGAATGCGCAGGCAGTGGCTCTTACTCTGGATGTTATTCGACTCCTGATTTGAAGGGAAGGTCAAGTGTAGGCACTCAAAAATACATCCAGTGTGAATGAAGACTGAACCTCGGCCGTCCGTGATTCTGGGCCTCGTGGGCACCCGAAGGGAGTTGGTGAGGAGCTCCCATGGAGGGATCTAAGAAATTTGTGAAGCTCCATCATTGCAAAAGCACAAGACCCCTGATCTACACGCCAGAAGCCGGAGGAAATCAGTGGATCCCCCAGCCCCCCAGGCTTGCGACTTCCCAAGGCAGCATCCAGGGACAAAACTCAAGGTTAGGGAGCTGTGACAAGTGAAGGGGCCACGTGGGACAAGACGCATGCTCACAGGGTCCCCCTTCCTCGTGGCTGCTGAGCTGCTTTAATGCACAAGTGACAGCTTTGGGCTCTTTCCGGGGACAGACCTCTCCACCTGGGGATCAACACCACCCATGGGTGGCTCCCCTCTGGCCGACGCAGTCTTGCCCCAGACCAGGCAGAACATGAGGAGCCCAAGGCTGTGACCAGCTGTAACCAGCAGCTCCCTGGGGAAGGAAGTTGGGGGGGGACTTTTTGGTGACAAAATCAGAGTCAGATTGGCCAGGAATTATGGGCTCACTACACCCTGATCCTCCTGGGGTCTAACAGCTGGCTGCTAATCTTCATTTCCTGTTCCACTGAGTTCACTGCTGCAGCGCTGCCTGGCTCTAAGCTGCCTGATCCTGGAGTTCGGGCCACGGCCCCTCCACTGGCGCGGCCCCTGAGGCTTGGCATGGTGCTGGCCACAGCAGGCACATAATTAGGCGCATCCCAGGGACTGGGGCGGTGTGCCATGCAGCACTCAGCCTCGCCTGTGCCCCGTGGCAGAGCCCAGCCAGGCCCTGTGCTTGGCCCTAAGGGGAGCACATGCAGCAAGTCCCCTGATGGAAGGCCTGCTCGGGCCTCTGTTTAGCCTCCCATCTGTTCAACATGTGGGTCTGGGTCTCCACATGCCCTGAGGTCACACATGCCCTGACTGGGCAGCCCAGAGGGTACAGGCTTGGCACACCCAGGGCTGTGGGACTCCCCATGGTGTAGGGAGGCTGGTCCCAGAAGCTGATGCCTTGGGGTGAGCGACCTTTTTGGGTCTCGGCCCTTGGACAGCTCCACTGCTTCCCACCCAAGCTCTTCTCTGGGTCCCTCTGGGCACCTTTGAATAAAATACTGACTGGCAGTCTTGGTTGCTGAGACCAGGACAAGGGAGAAGTAGGACTGGACCCCCAGACAGGTGGGGGCCGAGGCCAGGGTCTGAGCACTGTTGTCCCAAGCAAGTCTTACCAGAGACCACTCTCCTGCGGCCACGGAAGGGGTGGCTCCTTGCAAAGGCTTGGATGTGTGTGTGGGGGATGGGGAGGAAGGTGGGAGGGGGCGGGGCAGGCGATGGAAGGCAGGAGGGGATGGCCAGCCCTACTGAGCCCCTGCTGAAGCTGCTGTGCCCACCTTGGCTTCCAGGTCAGATTCTCCTCCAGGAGCGAATTCCAAACCTCAAAGTCTTTTCCTTATAATAATCCATCCCACTTGGTGTGCAGAATGACATCTCACAGTGACACGGCACCTTTTGCTTCTCAAAGGACTTTTATGCTTGTCTCATTCTTCAGTCCTCACAATGACCTCATGTTACATAAGAGGAAACGGAGGCAGGGACCAGGAGATTGTGCATCTAGCAGTCAGCTAAACTGGGACCTCGGGTCCCTCCCAGCTCTGCTGTCTGTACTGCTGCAGCCTCTTGCCTCACCATGCCATGGAACTGCCTACTGGTCACTGAGAACACATAGGCACTCCCAACCGAGTTCTGCGGATGCTCAGAGAGAGGCTTTCCTCTGGTCCACTTGTCAGTGCAGTGTATACAGCAAGTGCTTAATAAGTGCTTATTGGGTTCTCCTTTTGCATGGACCACATGTGGAATGGTGAGAGGAGCCAAAGGCTCATGGTCGCTGGGTTTTTGTAAGAATTTAACCTTCATTAATCTGCAGAGTCATCCTCCAAAGTCCTAGCTGCATGGATTAATGACACCCAGGGCAACGGTGCAGCCAGGTCCGGCTGTGCATTCGACCACAGACCAAAGCTGGGCCACTGTTCTCTGGAGCCCTGAGCTGTCACACTGAGGCAGGGAGGGACCACCGGCTCGGCCACTCCTGCCCCTGCTCCCTGATCCCCTCGGCTCCTGGGAAGCAGCAGCAGGCCCCGCAGGGTCAGCAGGGAACAATAATACTGTTGCGTGTAGGGGGCACTTGGCTGTGCCCAGGTCACCTCCTCATCACGGCTGTGCACTGCCATGCGGGATGGCGGGAATCGCTTTCCTGTATTTTTCCTGAGACACCAACTCATTGCTCGAGATCACGGGAGGCCGCCAGCTCCTTGCTGGGTCCGTGCTGGACAGCCGCTGTCCGTCAGTCCTCGCGCACAACAGCAGCAGCCCCGGGGCCCGTTCACTGGCTGCCCCTCGCCCAGTCCTACAGTTTGTGAATCTGGCGGTCCACCGAGATGGAGGTGCGCAGCGTGCCCATGGAGTTGTCCGCCGGGACGGGCTCGGGCACGCAGCCCGCTTTCCCGCACGTGCCCCGGTACACCTCGCGGGACTTCTTCCGGAAGCGCTTGCCCACGATGACGTACACCAGCGGGTTGAGGCAGCTGTTGCTATAGGCCACGTAGGAGCTGATCTGCGTGATGACGTCGATGATGTGCTCGTTCCAGCAGCCCGAGAGGATGCCGAGGCGCAGCAGCGTGTCCAGGAAGGTGCTGATCTGGAAGGGCAGCCAGCACACGACGAAGAGCAGCAGCACGGCCAGGACCAGCACGGTGGCCTTCCTCTCTGTCTGGATCTCCTTGAACTTCTGCATCTCGTTGTTCCGGAGCACCTGCATGATCTGCACCGTGCAGAAGGTGATGACACTCAGGGGCAGCAGGAAGCCCACCAAGTTCAGGAGAACATTGGTGAACACCTCCCAGGTGTGGGATGGGTAGATGATGACGCACGCGGTCACATTGTGGCCCTCCTCACTGTACCCCCTCATGGTCCGGAACACCAGCATGGGCGAACTCAGGAGCAGCGTGCACCCCCAGATCACCAGGCTGTAGAGTTTGGCCCAGCGCACCCCGCGCATCCTGCCCATGGACATGGTCTTCACCAGAGCCAGGTAGCGGTCGATGCTCACCAGCATCAGGAAGCAGATGCTGCTATACAGGTTCATGTAGATCATGGTGTTCACCACCCGGCACAGGACCTCTCCGAAGAGCCAGTCAAAGTTGTTGGCGATGGTGATGGCCCAGAAGGGCAGCCCGCAGGCCAGGATCAGGTCAGCCACCGCCAGGTTCCCCAGGTAGATTTCGGCCACCGTGCACCTGCTCTTGTGCAGGCAGAACACGCTGAGGACAAAGACGTTCTCGACCGCAGCCAGCACGAACAAGACCCAGAGGAAGGGGGCCTGGGTGGCATTGAGCCAGCCCCACCACTCGGTGTCGGGGCAGCTGCTGTCCTGGGAAAGGGTCCCGTTAAGAGCAGATTCGAGAGCTTGTGAGGTGATGTTGAGCATTTCAGTGCTGAAAGAAAGTGAAAAAGGGGCTTTTAAAACTCCAGGTCACAAGCGCAGGAAGGTGTGGGGGAGTGGGATGGTCCATCTGCCCCCCCCCCCCGCAGCAGGAGAATGGGCTGAACTGCTGCAGCCAGTGCCAGGAGACCCTGAGACCCCACCCTCCATCTTACAGTGCCCCTCCACACCTGGACCTAAACGGAGACCTCATTTCTTCACCTTGAAGCTCCCCCGGGGTACTTCCTGGGCCAGTGTCCATCAACAGCACTAACGTTAACCATCTGAGTGTTGGGCCGGGGGTGTCTAGAAGCTTCCACAACAGAAGGGTGCACAAGAGTTCCTCACTTATCCTGTGACCCCTCCCAAAGGAGGGGTCATTCAATTGTGTCACGGATAAGCAATTAATTAGACAAGAAAAATATCCTGCCAGACTGGGAGACTCCAGCCTGGGCGTGAGACCGAGGGCCATCTGCTCACACCCTGTCTCCTGGGTAGCCTGCCTCTTCTGGAAACGGGTAGCTTCTTGTTTTCACGCCCTCCATCTGCAAAGTGTGGGGTGATCGTGGTGGGATGCATGATGGAGAGAGAAGGTGGGGTGTTGCAGACAGACAGTCCTGCTGACTTCAAATCCTGGTTTGCTTATTTATTAGCTGTGTGACCTCGGGGAAGTCGCCTCTCTGAACCTCAGTGACCTAACCACTTCTTAGGATTGTGATGGAGCTCTGAAATGATGTGCAGAAAGCTCTAAACTGCATTTGGTTCAATAAACTGGTAATTATTTTTGTCCACTTATTGAAACAACTGAGTCAAACCCCAGCCCCACTGTTTGCAGTTCTGGCTTCTGTGTGGGTGACTATTGATGGAGAGGGTCTGGAATGCTCCCCTGAAAGCTCATGTACTGGTCAGTGTGGTGGCGTTCAGGGGTGACAGCCTGGATTATGAGGCCTGTGACCTCTTCAGTGGATCAGTCCATCTGAGGGGTTCATGATTTGAACAGACTCTTGGGTGTTGACCACAGGCAGGTGCATGTGGTTTGGGGGAGTAGGTCCCCGGGGGCCATGGCCTGGGACTATATCTGGTCCTCTCTCTCTTCCTCCTTCCCAGCGGTGATGAGCCAAGCAGGATTCCTCCCTATGCTCTTCCACCATGATGTTCCACCCACCTCGGGCCCCGAGCAGTGGAGTCAGTTGACCAGGGACTGAGACATCTGCACCCATGAGCCAAAATGAGTCTTTCCTCCTCTAAGTTGTTGTCAGGTATTTTGATCACCCAAAGGCTGAGTAACGCAGTGACCTTGTCATCAACCCAGGTGAGCCTCAGAGACCAGGAGGGAGGCGGTGTTCTAGAAGACTAACCATTTCTACCTCCAGGAAAGAGGCACAGGACTTGGGCAGAAGTGGGCACCAATTCTAGCTATCTCTAGGTGCGTAGTCTTGGGAAAATTGCTTGATCTCTCTCGGCTTCCATTTTTCTTCCTGGGGAGTAGCACATTATTCACCTCCCGACTTTCCCTGCATGATGGTGGCAAGGTTCACATCCGAGAGTGGTAGTGAAGACACCCTGAAAAGTGTGCAGCACACTCAGAGAGCGGCGGGCATGTCCCTAGGGCTTGTGGTGTGTGCGTGGAGAGGAAGGGGCTCCTCCTGGGAGGCCCATGGCTGGGAGGCTCAGGAGGAGGAGCTGAGCAACCGAGTGCAGGAGAGGCTGCCCGTGGCCTCTGGGGTTTCCCAGGGAAAGCCCTGCTGCTTGTGCAGCTGGAAGCCATCTTGAGCTGGACTGGGGCCCACCCATCCAAGCTTTTATCCTGGAGGGGCTTCTGAGCACCTGCTCTGAGCTGAGCCCCGCCCTGGGACAGGGACACGAGAGGAATCCCACTCTCCCCTGGTCCCGTGAGTGTGGGGTGGAGTGGCCGGCCCAGGTACAGGATGAGGGTGGTGCAGGTGGATGAGGATGGGGAGCCAGGGGTGGGAGACGGGCAGAGCAGGCAGCGGGAGCCGCTGTCACAGAGTCGGAGAGGAGTGAGACGCTGGGGCACGTTCCGGAAGGTGGTACCGGGGGTTGGGGAGGACGGGGGGGAAAGTGTGAGAGGTGAGGTTGACTAAGGGAACCGAGTGTCTGTGCTGGCTGCTGGGGAAGTGGGGCGCTGCCCCTGTAAGGAGGGGGAAGGGGAGCTGAGGGGTGTTCTGGAAAGATCCCTCTGGTGGGCTTGAATAGGCCCCAAACTGTTTTGATACTGTTGCCTTCAGAAGGAGCAGCGCACTTCCCCTCCCCGTGGATATGGGCGGGGCGTGGCGCCTTGCTTCTGACCAACGGTGGCAGTGGCGGTGTCCTCAGGAGTAGGTCATAAAATGTGCTGCGGCTTCCTTCTCGGCCTCTTGGATTGCTTGATCTGGGGAACGCAGCCACCATGTTGGGGAGGACACCCAGGTGGCCACAACCAAGGAGCCGAGCAGGACCCCCTGGCAGTGGGTCCCGGGGCCCCAGAAGGGCCCAGTTGCTTCTGCTCCCTGAGCTTTGCATCCTCGCAGCTGAGGCTCCGGACACCAGGCCACAGGGACGAGCTCCCCAGCGCAGCTTCTAGTCCTGACCCCAAGCAGGAGGCTCCTCTCCAGTCTTCTGAAGCTAAGACCTCCCGTGGCCACTCCCTTAGTCGGCGTGTGGCCCCATTTCTGCAGCTATAGAACACCCGGGGCCTCGGTGCCCCAGACCCGGGCACTTGGTGTGTCGCTAGAGACTGAAATACAACGCTGCGCAATGTCCTGGCTTCTCAGCTGGACACGGGGAGAGCCAGCGGGCTGGCACCCTGGCCCACGGCTCGTCCTGAGAAGCTGCAGGATCAGCTGTGGGTGGGGTGTCGGGAGCCTGGGACCAAGTTGGCCCTCTGGAAGGCTGCACCTGCCACAGAAGGGGACGCTGGGTGGCCTTGCGTTCAAGGTTGGACGCTCTGACCTTCGTTTCCAAGTTTGCCTGGGAGGTCTCGCATGTGACAACCAGGAGCATGCCCCGTGGCCCTCCCACCGTCCCCTGCAGCAGCCCACTCCCCCACCGGCCTGCAGGGATCAGGACACTCGACCACTCTTGGCTTTGGACTCAACGTTGTCTGCTCCTTGGCTGTTGTCCGGGCCTGAGGACCCAGGGCCTGGCTCTCTGGGGAGCGCCCAGGCTGTCTAAGCAGCACAAGGAGAAGCCCCTGCACTCACCTGAGGGAGGCTGTGGTGGGCATGGGGTCCTCATGCACAGAGAGCAGCACTGGTCTCTTCCAGGTGGAGAACATCTGGACTCAGAGCAGGACGAGGGCGAGGCCCGGCCTGGACTGGAGGAAAGAGAGGAGAAGGTTAGGGGGCGGGGCCGTCGGGGACCATAAGTACATTCATTCCCCACCAGGGAGGGAGAGAGGGTGCGGAGGCCGGTACCTCGCACATGCCGATGAGGTGCTCACTGCACGCTGGGTGCTGGGCACGTAATGGCGAGATGAGTTCTGAAGCCAGAGGGTACCCAGATGGTCACCAGTGATGCCCACTGATCTGTGTGCTAAGAGATCAGACGCAAGGTCCTGTGATAGTGATATGGTTTGTGTCCCCGGGCATTTTAGTATTGCAAGATGGGTCCCTAGGGGGGTGATGTTGAAGGTGGTGGCTGAGTACAAGGTAATTTGGCCACTGGAGGCACTGTCCCCCAGAAGACCCCAGTTGGTTGTCTGAGAGGGCTGTGGTACAGAGCAAGACTGGCCTCCCCTCCTCTGGCTTCCTGTCTGGCCATGTGATCTCTCCCTCTCACGGGCACTCCCACTGTGATGTCATCTGCCAAGAGGCCCTCAACAGAGCTGGTTCCACGCTTTTTGCACTTTTTGGCCTCCCAATCTGTGAGGTAAATAAACCTCTTTTCTTTGTAAGTATACAGCCTCAGGTGTTTTGTTATAGAAATGCAGAGTGAGTAGATACTGATGTTGAAGCCTGAGCATGAGCAGGAGTAGGAGGGTGAAAGGTCATGGTAGAGGAAGGAGGAGCAGGTGCAAAGGCCCTGAGTCAGGGGGACTGGAGGTCTTAGGCCCTGGAGGCTGCTAGGACAGGGGACCATAGGGGCCAAGTAGAAATGTGGAGTGTGGCTAGCCAGTGTCCATTAACCTAGGCATGGGGTGATGGAGAGGGAGGAGGATGGATTCCAGCGGGGTTCAGAGAGTAGAGCTGATGTGCTGGTCCCAGGTTGGACACAGAACGGTCGGGGCTGAGGGGTGGTCAGGATGCTCCCCAGGTGCTCTGCCTTCTACAGAGCAGAAGAGCAGGGAGGGCAGACCTGCAGGGGGACCTTGCATTTGGACTGCGGAGAGTGAGGTTCTTCTGAGACTTGCAGCTGGGGAGGGAGAAGCTGTGGCCCAGGGGTGGCCGGAGCTGCCGGAGGTCTGAGCGGCAGAGCCGGACGGAGGTGAGTTAGATGGGCCTTGGGGGCTGCGAGACGAATAGGAGACGGCCTGGATGAGGGTCCTCGGTCCCTTCTGGTGTTGGCAACACAAGACTCCCCTGTTCTGGGTGGCCCTGGTGGAGAGGTGTCTGCCCTCCTATCTGTGCTCGCCACGCCCACCCCGGGGGCCCGGTGCCTGCTGCACACCTGCCCTGCCCCGAGCAGCCGGGTGCAGGAAGGTGCGGATGTTCTGCATCCTACTGCTGGGGCGGCAGGTGGGGCTTAAACCCCTGGCTCCACACTTGGCATTCTCTGCAGGCTCCCAGGGGACCTGGGACTCCTGCCTAACACGCATGAAGAGCTGTGGGCACATGCAGTTGTGTGTGGGTGTGTGCAGAAACACGGGGTCTAGATGGACCCCGGGCACTGCCCTTCTGGAAGCCTGGCTCTCCTCATTTAGCTGCGGGACATGGTGATCAGGGAGCAGACGGCCCAGGGAAGTCACTCAGAAGACGACAAGGCTGAGTCAGTCAGTAGGGCGCCCAGGGCAGGTGTTCAGTTAACACCCAGAAGAGATTCATGGACCTGGGGCCTCAGCAGAGCCAAGGCCAGGACCCGGAACTTGCCAGGGACGCAGCGAGCAGAGTCCCTCTGATCCTTTGGTGGTGGGGGGTCTGGGGAGGGAAGAAAGACCTCGTGACTGGTTTTCTGAGGGGGCCTTTCCTGGCTCACGGAGAGAAAATCCGCCTGCGGGCCAGAGGTCATGTTTGAATCACTTATTTTAAAAACATTTCAAGGATAACTGAGCGCCCACCACTCACTTGCTGGCTGGCCAGCAGGGAGGAGGGAGGACAAGCCTCCCCTGCCCCTTGGGCTGGCTGTCCAGCTGAGCTGTGCAGCAGGGGACCTTAGCCTCCCTGCCTGGCCTGCGATTCCCACCCAGAGAAGGACAGCCGCGAGTTAGCTCTGCGGTGCCTCCCCCCTGGGGAGATGTCCATGTTTCCGGTGACCTCAGTCTGGGGGTCCCAGATCTGGCCAAGCCAGCCCAGCTGAACCTCATCACTGCTCAGGCTGTAACACAGCGCTCGTTTCAAAACAGAGTCTAGGACGTTCCCAGTGCCCAGAGCTCAGGGGACTTAAGCTCAGGGGACAAGAGAATCTGGGAGCCTGGGTCCCCGCTGGCTCTGTCCATCTGCTCTGGAGGTGGGACTTGGGCAGGGGGCTGTGTGTTCTGCTCCAGGTCCCCTCCGGCTCTCCCCCTGGACCCCTGCCTCTGGAGCCCCATGGGGACAACTCCACGGCTCCTTGCCATCTGGGTTCTCTGGGTTTGGCCAGTGGAGGCCCAGGCAGGAGGCTGAGGGAGGGCGGAGAGTGAAGATGGGCTTCCTGGGCGCTCTCCCTTTTGTCCCCTGTCACAATGTGTGCCCATATTTTGGGGTTTCATATTAGAGCTAGGCCCTCAGGGACTGGACTGGAGTCCATTGTGTCCACTGGGGGCCCTGCTCTCCAGAGGGGAGGGGCAGGGAGCTCAGCCGTGTGTCCCCAGCCCGAGGCACAGGGGAGGCACCTCCTGTCGGACTCCCCTGGGCCTCTGTTCACCTTCACCTTCCTGAAGGTGCTGTCCCTCTCTGGGGACCTGACTAACACGTCCTGGGATGGTGAGGTCAGCTGTGAGGCAGGGGGGAGGAGCGTGGCGCAGGGCGTAGGCAGGTGGGGTCAGGAGCGGCCCTCGGTGATCTGGAGTGAGTCCCCTATCTCTGTGGGCCTGGGTTTCCCCCTGAGCAGAGCCGGGAGGGTGGACATCAGCCCTCTCAGATGCAGACCTCCATGACCGGGCTGGGGCCTGTGGACAGGAGCGGACTCTAGCGGATGCTTCAAGGGGACCTCCCACCTTCTGACCCGCCGTCCTCTCTCCCTCCGCCAGGAACACTGTGCACATAGTTCCCTGGTTAGTCACCGAGCCCGGGGCTGGGTGCTGTCGGGGTGAATTCCACGTTAGTCTCAGAGGGAGTCTGTTTGCTTTCCCAGGAGCCCAGGTCTCAGGGCCTTGGAGGCTGGGCCTCCCCCAGACACAGGGCGTCACCATCTCCAGCACCAGGCTTTGCATGGACCCCCAACCTGGGGCAGGGATGGGGTTCAGGGAGCTGGGGAGCTGCAGGTGCTGGGAGGACGCGCTGAGGCCAGAGCAGCCAGAGGCCTCCCGTGACAGGGTCCCTGTGCCCGCGCAGCTCTGTGGCATGCGGCTACAGGATCTGCAGGCCCCGTCTCCAGTGTGCACCCAGCTCCTCCGCCCGCCTCTCTCCTTGGAGCTCAGCGTCAACCCCTCCCGCTCCTGGAGCTCACGGGGGTAAATGTCTCTGCTTCTCCGTGAGCTGCCTTTTGTGACAGGGGCCTCGGCCAGAACTGAGGAGGGCAGAGGGAAAAGGTCCTTTTGTCCCCCATGACAACACATGCCGGTATTTGGGGGTTTCATGTAGGAGCTGGGAAGCATTTCCCAGGTGGGGGGTAGACTGGCGGGTAATGACCTGAGTCCTCCTTCTCACTAGGCAGGGAGAAAGGCTCAGCCTCGTGCCCCGTGTCTTCAATGCCTCTCTAGGATTCAGAAGCTCCCTGCTCTGGACATGTCCCCTAAGGCTCATGCACTGAAACCTTAGTTACTCACTCTGCTTGCCCGTCTGCTTTCTGTCAGGAGTTGAGCAGCCTTTGTGGTCCCACAGCCTCGGACTTCCATCCTCCTGAGCCAAACTGGACCTTTTTTTCCTTCATAAATTTCTCAGTCTCAGGTGTTCTGTCATAGCAACAGAAAACAGATAGAGACATTCCCTGTTTAACAGGGAGAGCAGGCTCTGCTGTGGCTCACCCCCCCCATCTAGTCATACTTTAATAAAGGTGTCTATATTTTTATAAATAACTCCTTTTAAATGACAAATTAAACTCATTTTCTCTTTAGGTTGGTGATATGAGCTTACAGTTGGAAAATAAGCCAGTAGTAAAGTTATACCTGTGCAGGTGCCGTAGATATGGCAGAACGGAATGGTCAAGTGTGGAAGTGTCTGGCGGTGTCTGGCTGGACACGTGCAGACAAGTGTGTGTGTGTGGGGCAGCCTGGCAGTTTGGGGGATGGACTGGAACCAGGCCTTGGACTGAGTCCTCCTCCAGGGGCAGGCTGTGTGACCTCGTTGTGCCTGATGGGGCTTGGTATAAAAGTATCCTGATCCTCCCCCCTCGGGCTGCTGTGGGGAGCAGAGGAGTCAATGCAGGTCAAGGCAGGGAGCGGAGGTCAGAGTCCTTCCCAGACCGAGGCACCCCCATGAGAAGGCCACTACAGGGGCCAGGACGTAACGCAGCCTGCTCTCCGGCTCACACTGACTTCACAGACGGAGGGAGAACAGGTGTTTCTGAGATGCCCAGCCGCCCACCCAGGGGAGGCTTTGAGGAGGTGGAGCTGTGTGTGTGTGTGTGTGTGTGTGTGTGTGTCCCAGCATAGCCAGTCTCGGAGGGGAGCACCCTGCCTCCTGCATCGCCCCACCCTCCCTGCTCCCCACGCCGGCTGCTGTGGTCAGCACACCCCCATCTCTTGGACATTTGCTCAGGGCACCCTGCAAGCTGGAGTCAAGGCCAAAGCTAGAAAGGAGGGGCGTCTCCTGAGCTCTGCCCTGACACCCACGCCTTCCCCCACGTCCTGATTCACAGGGTCAGGGTGCTGTTCACGGAGCAGCACTGGATGAACGTCTGGCAGCAGCTCACACGGGGAAGGGCCAGCGCCGCCTCATGAACCTCCCGGGCAGGGAGGCGTGGCCCCGAGCCCTGGAGGCTCATCTCCGCAGAGGGGAAGCAGCCTGTGGGGCAGGTGGTGGGAAGCCACCCTCCAATCGT